TTTCAATTATACTCATTTAATTACTCGCACACATGTGGTTGAGAACCACTAACCCCACACACTCTTAACCCCCTCCCTATCTACCCTGAATCGCCCCCTCTTTATCCACAACAAACCATTATGCCTACCCCCTTTCCAGGTCTGTTATTACACCAAGAGATGGTCTAATATCAATGAGCCCTCCCCCCAAGCCATTTCCTGCGCTCCAAAGAACTAATGGACTTGGGCATTGTAATTAAGATAATTTAAATATAAGTCCTGAGCCTCATTAATATGCATTAATGGAAGGGCCATAGGGATATCTGAGAACATGGTTACAGAATTAGAATATTATTAAACATTGTACAAAAGCGTAGATGCTGGCTTTTGAACAAGTTTACTTTGGTGTGTTCTCAATGACATACTAGCATGCTCCTCAGAGCATACTGTGCTCATATATATATATATATATATATATATAAGTATGCAGTATGATAAAGGTTTCAAACTGTGTTAAATGTCACATGAACACACTACTTTGCATGTTTAATTCAGCAAATAATAAGTTTTTGCTAATTTAATCCCATTTTGAATATATATATATCTATATATATTAGGGCTGTCAATGTTAACGCGTTAACGCATGCGATTAATTTTACAATCCTTAACGTGTTAAAATAATTTTACGCAATTAACGCAAAATTACTGAAGCACAATTTCTATTCTAACCCTTTAACCCAATTTTGCTTCTCTGCTTGCAATCAGATTATTTTAAGCCGCTAAACTCCAGGAAAGTTTTCAGTCCAATGATCCAGTAAGCGAATGCATTCAAACAATCCGTCCAAAACAGCGCTAATATAAAGGAAACCAGGCTGATTACATCAGAGATTGCAGAGAGAACAGAGACTCATGTTGTTTTCAGTGAATTATTCATTCCAGTGTGTTTCTTTTAAACACGAGCTCTGTCATATTCTGTGATTGTCTCTGAAGAGCGCGAGCCCTCACACGTTGCGCTGTGTACCAACTACGGTTTCTCGACTTGATAACCAGTCTCGCTAGTAAAGTTTTGATGGATGAAGACTGCAATCAAGGTAAAGACGATTGCGGTGGCGTACAGGAGTCGTTCAGTAAGCACGTGTGAGTCCGTTATAATAATGCGTGTACGAGCACTCTTGAGGCACAGGCACAGATGCACAGGCACAGACATTTCCGTACATTCACGTTGTTTCCACACACATTCAAGATAATGTTTTGATTTGTCATGTTTATGTTACTGTGTTATTTATACGGAATGGATCCGTGTACTGTAGTAGGGTTTTTTTGGCATCGCCATGTGGTCCTGTTCGGTATCGCAACTTGACTTCTCTAAAATTTAAAAAAGCTATTTGCTGTTGCACTGTACACATACTATACAATTCAAGATATTTTTGTTGCATTTTTTTCTTTCATGTGTGCTTATATGGGCTCCTTATATCATTTGGTTCTTTGGTGTCCTTTTGGAGTTTTGGAGTTCTTTTGGAGTCCTTTTTTGGAAAGACATCTATATTTATCTTGAAAAAAGCTTGCAGAAAATACAGATTTTTGAGAATCACCCTTCAATCTTTTGGTTTACTTTGCTGGATATAGCAAATGATGACAAAATATGATTAATCACAGAAAAAGGGTGTGATTTGATTAAAAATTGTAATCTATTGACAGCCCTATTATATAAATATAAATAAATATATATGTATGTGCATGCTTGGCAGTTAAATGTACACAATGTGATTTTTGCAGTTGATATTGGTGAATTCATCATATGGAACTAGAAAGAAGCTGGGTCTATCATGCGTTTTGAAAGTTTGTATATTGCATACTTCATATACATACTTTATACTGCAGAAATTATACACATAGTACTATGGTAGTACTCCATCACAATCTTTTTAGATGTTACCAGCTGTGTTCCTTAGTAAACACTAGAATGTGCCATGGTGGAAATGCATCATGGAATGTCATACACTCATGATTAAAGCCTGCTTGGTTCATATTTAGCACTTGAGTGGGTCTGTTAATGAGAAGGAAGCTCTTATGTTGAGTCCAAGTCACGGGCCCCACAGAGGCTTCCGGTCCAACCAACCATATGCATCCAGCCAATTAGACTCTCTCTACAGCATACAGTTTAAACAACTATTAAATGCAGTGTCACCTTTAGCAGAGCTAAAAATAAGTCTGTCAGTAATTCCAAAACACAGAACAAACTAACAAACCATCCCAGAAAGCAAGAAAAGTTAAAGGCATTGGGTAAGATGGAAGGATGAGGATGGAAATGGATGACATGCAAAATAGACGTGCATCAATATGCATGCACTGAGAGATTTCAGACATCCAGGTTAGCCAAGGGCCCACCTCCCAGACAAAAACCTAGCTCCTACCTTTTCTGAGGGGCAGCACAAGCTCCGTTTGGCCCCGTGGTGAGCCCCATGCCTCAGGACCCTAATGCTCCTTTGTCTAGTGTGCGTTCTGCACCCCAATCCTGCCAGATCACCGCTAGCATCCACCGTCCCAGTCGCCAGGCACAGACGCACTCTCTCTCTCCCTGTTTCTCTCCATCTAACACACGCATGCGAGCCCCCCCGGTTCTGTGGTTTCCTAGCGACAGCCAACTGGGGGTGCCTTTTGGAGCCCTATTGCAGAGCTGTGTGCTGATTGGACAATTGGTTCTTCTCTAATGAGGATGATGGTAATGATTTTTTATCCCCCTCTATAAGCACGACCAGCCCCCCCTTTCAGAATATTCACTGGTGATGGCTCGTCCTGCCAAAACAGAGGAAAAGGCCTGTCCCAGAAAAAGAGACCTGGATGAAAATTTTATATTTATATTTATGTTTAATGTTTAAATCTATTTAGAAATGTTAACATGATTGATAATTTTATCTTTGTCAATACAATAATTATTGTTGTTTTGATAATACTTTAGGTTAGGGATTTCAATAAACCTCAATGCTGAGTATTAAAATTTGGTATCTCTAATGATTTACGTAATAGACATGACCCTGTGTTAAAATACTCTAGCATCCTGGCGAGTTTATATTTGCTCATTCATTTTTTACTTTAGAACAATACATCCAGTATGCTCTAGCAACCGTTTGGCTGTCCTAACCATTCTCAGTACCTTAGCAACCACAAAGCACCATCCTAGCAACCATTCAGAATATGATAGAAACCACATAACTACATCCTAGCAACCACAAAGATTACCTTAGAAATGACACAGCAACATCCTAGCAACCATTCAGAATACCTTAGAAATCCCATAGCTACAACCTAGCATCCACCTAGCAATGTCCTATAGTGGCCATCCAGATTATCTTAGAAACCACAGAGCAACATCTTAGCAATAATCTAGAATACCTTAGAAATCACATACAAACATACTAGCAACCATTGAGAATAGCTTAGAAACCCCATAGCAATGTCCTAAAGTGGCCACCCAGATTACTTTAGAAACCACAACATCAACATCTTAGCAACATCTTAGTGACAAACCAGAATAACCATAGAAACCACACAGTAACATTGTAGCAACAATTGAGAATATGTTAGAAACCACATAGCAATATTCTGTCAACCCTTCCAGAATACCTTAGAAACAGCATGGCAACATTTTAGCAACAGCAATCACCTAGCTATGTCATAGTAAAAAAAGTCCATTAAACGAATGCGTTCAAACAGTAAATTCAAAACAGCTCTAATACAGAGAAAACCCAACCGATCCAGATGTCAGTAAATTATTATTTTCAGCGTGTATTTGGTTTAAAAGCACGTGGTTTAAAAGCACCAGGCCCAGACTGTGTTACACCAGTCTGTCTGAAATCCGTGAAGTAAACTTCAACGGATTTCCCCTGCTCAGGGAGTAGGGAGCATGTGAGTCGGAACACAGTTCATGCATGTAGCTCACTTCTAACGAGCTGGTTATCTGAATCGGTTGTTTTAACTAAGAGAGACATGCAAAATATGCAGAGCGGGAGGGCGCGAGGACTGGAATTGGGAACCGCTGGGCTACATCATGTGTCATTCACCGGTGAAAAAACTTTATAGTACAGTTAGTAAAAGTACTACAATACCTGGAAGGAAGATCGGGTTGTTGATGTTTGTCTGCCATTCTCGCTTTGTCTGCACAGCGTGTGTGAACGCGCTGATGACGTATCCTGTCTGCGCGAACAGGGTGCTCAGAGGTATGCTAATACATTCGTTGACAGGCAGGTAGGAAAGCCAATAAAAATGCTCGGACCGAGCTTTTTGATTGGACGAACATTTCTTGGTCCAACGCCTTCCACAGAATATATAAATACAGGTAAATACATTTAGACCACTTAACTTAAAGGGGTCATATGAGGTGTGAAGAAATAACATTATTTGGTGTATTTGGTGTAATGAAATGTGTTTATACGGTTTAAGGTTCAAAAAGCACATTATTTTCCACATACTGTACATTATTGTTTCTCCTCTATGCCCCGCCTTTCTGAAACGCGTCGATTTTTACAAAGCTCATTTTATGCACCAAGAGCTTGTAACACTTCAAAGAGAAAGGAAAAATTTAAATCACATCATATGATCCCTTTAATGATTGCTATCGGGATGTGAAGAGACTTTCAACCAGCATAACAAAAAATGTTTCTGAAGACAATCACCTATTGCACCTTTAAGCAATTGTAATATTCTAGTAAAGAGAAGTGTTGTAATTAAAGGTGCAGTATGTAATATTGAGAGCTAGTGGTTGAAATGGGTGTTGCAGTCCAAATTCATAATATTGGAGAGAGTTGTTTTTCCACCCCCTCCTCCTCAGACTCTACGCTTACACAAGTTTCCAGACTGAGAACGCTCAACAGGATTGATCGCAATTGAAAATGGAAGGTGATGAGCTTTACACTGTAAGTTGATGAGTTGATTTATCAGTGTTTTAATATTCCTCTGCTCATAGAGATTTTTAGATGGATGGAGAGCTGCAATCTCTGACCCAGTTTGTTTGCTTGCTTCCATGGCTGCAATACGCCGTTTTCTGACAACCCGGGGTGCAGAAATACTATTGGGTAAATTGTGTAAAAAAACAGACATTCCGACACGGAACACGCATTTCAAAGCAGAATAAATGGCTGTAGCATTGTTTTTCGGAGAAACAAGTATGTGAACTTAGCAAGTTTCATAAATATCTTCAAACATATTATGGTATTTTTATGCTTTAGTACAATCAAAAAATTACATGCAGCACCTTTAATGGCAGTGCCAAAAACAAAGACGAAGAGACACCAAGCGCACAGTGTTGGTTGATGAAGTGTTGTGTGCTGATGAGGCTGCCTCTTAATAATCAGTGATTAGAGCATCACTTAGCAAAGGGTAAAAACCCCCGACTGCTGCTGCAATTACAATCAAACCACACACTCATGAAAAACAGACTGCATGTGCTACAGAAAGTTTATAGGGTTTTGGGACCCGCTTAAATCGGGGCACAACAAAAGATCATTCTGAAGAGGCCTTGCTAAATTGAAAATATACATACAAGGGGGCCTATCTGACCTTGAAGGAGGAGATAAGAACAGCACTGTCCTGAAAAGTAAATTGAGGCACTTATTGTGTAATACCTTTGGGGTGTGTTATTCTGAAATGTACTCTCTTATATAATATATTGATTGCACACAGATGGGCATGAATGCCATTGATTGCCATCTACTTATTAGCATATAGATTAGCTTCTGGTGGGGCTGGATAAATTAAGGTGGAAGAAGGAAGGTTAGAGAAGGAATAAGGAAGATGAAAGAAGGTAGGCAAGGTGGAAACAGCATGAAGAGAAGGAACATAGCAAAATGACTGCAAACAGCAGGATGGGAAGATTCTGTTTTTTGTTTTATATACAAGGGACACAAGTAAAGAAAAAATTTACTCTAGTGAATAAAATATTTTTAGTCTCCCATTCTGCTTTTTGGCATCATTGTTCAATTCATTCCTTTTCTTTATGTTATCTATCACCTCCTTCTCTTGTTTCTTCGTCATTTCCACATGTGCTTCATCCATTCAGATGGGGATCGAAAGAATGAGAGTGAACAGAGAAAAAGACAAACTGTGAATATGGGATGAGACAGGAAAATCAAGACGGACAGATGAGGAAGTGGCAGTAAACTGGGATGGGATGGGATGAGATGGGAGGTGCTGCTGTCTGTCTGGTCTGGGTCTGGTCCATATTAGTTACTCACTCATCCACTCAGCATGAAATGAGTGGGGGGCAGGGAAATGAGGCGGGGGTGGGCAGCCACCGGGAGTGGCGGAGGGAGCGAGGACAGATGTGAGAGCATTGAGAGATGGAGGAATGCTGATTTCACGGTCTCTCACATCACTAAATTTGGACTCATTTAGCACATTTAATGAACTGCTGTATAAGTCATAGTAAACCTCAGTCTGTCAGTGGTAACTAGTCTGGTTATGTTGGTAACAGTGCACTGGTGATCATCAGATATCTCATCAATGAGTTTTTTTTTTCTTTTTCTCTTTTGTCCCTTAAGTGTTTTTATCAGCCTGCGTGTTGATTATTGGGTTCACTGACAATTGCAGATTTATATTTTAAAAAATATATGTATATAAAATTTTATTTAATAGATTTTTATACAATTTTATTATATTGTATTTTTATTGAGTTTTATATTATTATTTATGATAATATAAAATTCAATAAAATTATATATAGGCTATATATATATATATACATGAAGAGTTTCACTTTAATGACAATGAATAGTTCTTTTCATTGCCATTAAAGTGAAATAACTGCATTCACTGAGGAAATATGCTCGTGCTCAAGAAAATTTCAGACGGCACTTAAAGGCTTTTGCATCTGAACTCTTCATATATATATACATATTGCACTTTTAGTAATAAAAATCGCTCAGAGTTGCTCCAGGCAGCTCTTTTTAAAAGTCTTACTTTAGATGCCAATATTCATACCTTTGAATTCAAATCGTCCTGCAAGAAAAAAAAAGTAGTTTGTGGAAAAACTGCACACTTTTTTTTGTTACAAACTCTCAGCCAATGAATTTGGGCAAGTGTTTGAAAAATCAGCTCATGTTCTTTCCGTAGAACATTTGTTGTCTTAAGTGTCACAGTGCTACAAAGCAGAACACCTCTGTGGCTAGCCTGGAGAATGTAGACATCAGCACATGAACACACCACTGTCATTGATGCAGCCCACAGTGAACATCATGTGGACACCTAGACTTGTCAGTAAATTTGGGAGCACATAAGTTACATTTCGGCTTCTTTAATTAAGCTGGCGATCATATCTACTGGGACAGCATGGACTTTGCAAACCCACAATTTTAGCCAGGTAAACACACGTTTAAATGCACACTGAGAGATCCGTCTTTGACACTGGGTTAAAACTGAGGCACTCAAAGCCCTAATTCCTTCAAGTAATCGGCACGTTAGAGTAAGTGC